TGTCTCTCCTTACAACATGTCCAAAGTATGTCAGGCGAAGCCCCAGAATCCTTTCCTCCAAGGAGCAGCCTGGTTTAACCCTCTCTAGGATGAATCTATTTGTTTTCTTAGTTATGTTTAAAACGCCTACTTGCAAGTCTTGCCTCTTTGGGATATCAAAATGTATTTTGTGATGTACTAAGGATACTGATCCTGAAGTCTACCAAATATTATAGTGCATTTTAGCCTAATTCATTATCTGTATGAAGTTATAAAAGTAGCTGTAGATGACTAGGAAATTACATCATTTGTATTAAACCCAGATCTATTTCTGAGCATTTGGTACTTGCTGTTGTGAAAATGTCTTACCTTTGACCTTTGTCAGTTTGTAATGAGAGGATTTCCTTTTACCCTTCGTAGCTCAGAGAGCACCTGATGTATCCTCTCAAGCACAATAAACATGCTCCTGGGGGAAAAAAAAAAAGATAGCAGCAAGCAGTTCTCTCGGGCCCCACTTCTGGTTCCGGCTGGGTTTCTTCTGGACAGAACAAATAATTCCTCCTCTTTGAGCCTAAATTAATTTGGGTGGGCTTCAGTGACTTGTAACCGTCTTGTCACTTGAAAAGGAGAAAAACACCAAATAAAGAAGTACCAGGAGTTCAGTTCATTGTCATTTATTTAATTTAAAAAAAAAAAAACAACCAAAAACAACCCTCCAAAAATCCATTTCCAATGAAAATACAAACACTTTGGGTGGTTATCCAGCTTTCTTTTCCCTGTAGGCTATTCTGGGCTTAAAGCAATCAAATGAGGGAAAAGCAGTTTTGACTGGAGCCATAAAGCATGTTGCACCAATTAAATTATACCAATATATTATTATAATACCTTTGAAATGCCTTTCAGACCAATAAATAAAAAAAGACAAATTCAAATAAAAAAGTCAACTTTTTATTACCAAAAGAAATTAAATAAAAGTCACAACATGGATTTTTTTTTTAAAAAAATGTGCAGTCAAGTTTCTCTTTTTTTCTTTTCTAGGAATGATAGCATGCCAGTAAATCCCTACAGAACATTTCCAGTTTGGCAACAAGCAGTCAGTTGGTCATTCACATTTGTACTCAAGACAGCAGGCTGGAGCAAACCAGGCCTGAATTCCACCCTGAAACATGCTTCTGTCACCAACAGGCAGCACCTGATAGCAGGGATGGGTATTCAGGCTGTACTGAGTATTTTCATTTCACCTGGGGTCTTGAAGCACTTTCTGAAAACTGAACGTGCCTTGAAATTTACCTGTAAAAAAAAAAAGTATAATTCCACCCCTTTGGCAGATGTGTAAACTAAGACACTGAAAAGCCCACAGAGGAAGTGGGCGGGAAAGGGACATCGGATCGCTTGCTTTGTCCCCTGGGTCAGAAAAGTGTCTCATTTGTAATCCTATGGAAATAAATAAAACAAGCATGACTTCCTTGGTTGGTGAGGATGGCAGGGCTTTAGTCAGGAAGGAGAGGTGATGCTTTTTAAAGTCTTCCCTCTATTCCAACTTTTCCCTGGAAAGGCCATAGTCAACATTCCATGAAGAAGCAGAGGACGCTAGCAGAATGTTGGCGCTGGGCAGGACCTGAGAGATCAGCCCTCTACGAAGGGGACACGTAGCCCCAAAGACACTGTAGTTGCCTAAGGCCACCAGCTAGTTAGCAGCAGAACAGGACTCAACGCAGAGGTTTGCCTCTGAGCCAAGGCCTTTCTTTGCCACAATCACCTGTCTAAGTTTGACGAAAGAGAATATACACTTGCGTTTCAGGAGGAGGCAAAAGGGGTTGGGTGGTATGTGATTTTTTTTTTAAATAGAATCATTTTTACCTAAAGATTAGTAGAACAGGAAATACTAACAAATGCAATCACTTTGCAAAAGGGAAAACCACATGGATCTATAGGCAGGTGTTATGTGAAGTCATACTGACAGCTATGCACCAGGCCAGTGGACATGCGAGAGTGGCTGGCAGTGTACAGCAGGAGCTGGGCTTCCAGAAAAGGCTGCATAAAGACGGCAAGGAGGAGAGGGCGTGGAGCTTACGGGACACCCTCCACGCACTCACAATGCTATCTACAAAGAGTTTTACATTTTTCCCTTTTTACCTCTATTGGAGTTTAGGAGGAAGGTGGAATTGAGTGGAGGGAAAAACAGCTTCCCCTAAGACATGCTCGACTAACCCTGAAAAACTACACAAGGCCAAACACTAGGCCTGGTGGGAACGGGAGGAGCGAACCATGATCCCCTGAGTGAGAGGGAACATCCTTTCTAGTTAATACGGTGGGGTGGGTGGATGTGTTCTCATATCCCTAAGCTTGTCCATTGGCTTTCGCAAAGATTGCCTCAAAACTAGCCCTCCTCATACATCTAGGTGGTTACCTGAGACCAGCTATCCTGATTTCATGGTTTCTGTTTCCCAAGACCAGTAGAATCAGAAGTCATCCCAAAGAGAATATTAATTACAAAGCCAGACTCCTAAAAAAAATCTCCTTGTGGAAGTGAAGTCGTCCTATCACCTATAATCTAGGTGTTAGAGTAATGCACCTAGTTTTGAGACTTTTTAACAAAAGAATCTTTCACCGTAAAGGGCTTCTTCTTTTCTTCTTTCCCCAGAAGCATGTGGAAGACTTCTAAGGAAATGCTCCTTCTCCTATGTTTCCTTCAACCCACTCTACCTCTCATGTGAACAAACTTTCTTTTCCCCCAAAGCCTAGGAATTCACATCCACCTTCAAGACCTTAATCCAGCCCCTTTACATTTGGGGACAAACATCGTTTGCCAGACTTTCCTTTATTCACCCAGACATCTATCCCACCTCCATACTAACTTCTTAGAAGCAAACTCATCTTCCTCGGAGGAGTCTGTGCACAGAGAAACGGTTTGCTAGTAGTAGTAAACAGGGGAAACCGCTGGACCAGTTAATCCTTTGGAGACTGCGGGCAGTGAGTATTGCATCCCATTGCCAAGCGGGAGTCTACAAAGCAGCATTCCAGTTAATACTGAGATATAATAGAAACCAACTAGCCCTTTGCAAGTGTGGATCAACTTCCAATCATCTGTGCTCAGCCGTACACCATCGTTCTGACCTCTGATACTACCATCTTGCTCTCTGTCCACCCCCGAAGAAGAGGCAGAAGCAGGACACTTAAAAAAAAAAAAAAAGAATCATCACCAAGTGCTAATTCTACTATGTCCTCAGTGGAGTTCAAAGCATTTTCTCTGTGATCAAGGCTCTATTTCTATCCAGGGTAGAGTCATAATTTAACAAACCAGTGGTATGTAATACCCCATAGGATGCCTTAACCTAACTTCCGGGGCTTTGCCAGGCTAAGGATGAGTGCCACCATCTCCCCTCGCATTCCTATGGCAGACATTACTACTGAACCACAGCACTCGTCTTCTATCTGGGAAGACGATTAAAGAACGCTACTCAAACCAGCACACTCAGTGGACACTATTGGTGGATCATGGATTCAAGCTGAGGCCAATGAAATCTATTTGCCAGCCCCATGCAGTCAAAGCAGCTTGCTAATGTGAGATGGAGGGGAGCATGCTTGTGGGGCTCACCCAAAGAAGGTGAGCCCAGTCTCTCTTGCTCCTCCTCCAGAAGCAATTGGATGATTTCTAGAGAAATGGTTCCTTCCTCAAGGATTCCATCCCACTAGGTGCCGGCCAGTCCCAGCTCCCCTGGCAAGCTGGTTCTCCAGGACATGCTGTAAAAGCAAATGTCAGTGAGGACCCAGATGCTGACTCTCCCATCACGAGGTGACTTTGGCCACGAGATCGTGGCAGAACTGGTAGCGAGCGCACTCCTTCCTTTTAGGCTCTAGCACAGGCTATAAGCAAGATGGCACTAGTCCTTTCTTAATCCGTTGCCATGACCAGCAAGGAAGGACCCCACTTGTAAGCCCAAGTCATTGCTCCCCTTCCACTCATGCCCACCCCAACCCCTGTGCCCGCCCTCTGAGTTAGTTCAGTTTGTTGCAGATCTCCAGGGCTTTCTTGTACACCTGAGTCACGTCATCCATGTCCGTGAGGAGGGAGAAGCTGCTGTCTCCCAGCCGGTTCCGGTACCGTTTCAGGTACTGGGGCCGGGGCCGGTTCTGGAGGCCCTCAAAGTCCTGGATCTGGAGGAAGTTCTCAGCAGAGACGCAGCTGCGGATGCGCTGGCGGGCGGGGCGATTCTCCTGTACATCCAGCAAGTCGAAGGAGTCACTGGACAGGACGCTGTCATCGCTGATGACGCTGGACGGCCGGCTGTAGCTCCGTGAGAGGCCCTCTGTGGGGATGCCGGGCTCGGCCGAGGATTCCAGTGTGGGCATTTCGGGGCTGATGAGGGCCGGGTCCATGGCGCCCGAGGAGTACTTGCTACTGTGTTTTAAGATACCCTTCCTCCGGCAGGAGAGGCTGTGGGTCGCTACCCTGACTGGGTCCGGGGGGCTTGGGGAAGGGATGCTGCTGACCATCACGTCATTACTGTCCAGCAGCTCTGAAGACTCGCTTCGCTCCGGAGAGGAGTAGTAACCCGATTCTCTCTGCTGAGTCTTTTTCAGGATCCCTTTCTTGGGCATGGTGGCCGAATGCTTTGGGCTGAGTTTCCCAGGCACTTCGGCTTCGGGGGAGCTGGGGAGGGGCCCCCCTGTCCGGCACATGTCCTGCTCCAGCTTATAGGAAGAGGGTAAGGTGGGGCTGACCACCCCCTCGATGAAGCCAGTGCTGTGGGAGCGGTGCTCACTGTTGCTTCGTTTCTTCAAGATCCCCTTGGGCCTCTTGGAGGTCAGCTTGGGTGGGCTTTCGGGCGCAGGGTCCTGGACCGACTGGGCAAAGTCATTCTCTTTCTTGGACTTCTTCAGTGACCGCTGGCGCTCCAGCATGACCTCGGAGGGGCCGGGTTTGGGCAAGCCCTTCATCTTGGCCTCGGCCTCAGCCTGCAGCCCCGTGGAGCGGTGGTGCCAGTCAATTATCCGAGCCAAGAGCGGGGACTCGGAGTCGTGCAGGGCGTCGCAGTCACAGACGCTGCTCTTGTAGCCCCAGTTCACCCACCAGTGGTTGGCAATGTCCTCGATGGTGGCCCGGCGGTCAGGGTTCACCATCAACATCCACCGAATCAGCCCTCGAGCATCTAGTGGGCGAAAGACAAGAGGAATGTGGTATTACGTGAAAGCGCTTGGCTTGGGTTGGTGGTGGGGTGACCCAGTAAGAGCATTCACAGAGGGAGGCTCGTATGAGGAGCAAACCAGCTGGGGTCCTGAGTAAGAGGACAATGTCTTCCATGCTGAGCAGGAAACAGACCCAAACTCAGAACCTCTGGCTGGTATGCAATCAACCCTTGGTACGTTTTGTTAGTGTAGGTATGCCAGGCAACTACTACCCTTTCCATCAAGCCAGGTCATTACTGGAGAGGGTCAGGTGACAGCCGAAGCAGCTCAGCCTCAGCCCCGGCCCTGAACAGGCCCCATTTGTCATCTCTGGTGGAGATCACTGTTTTAAAAAGGGAAGCAGGTATAGATGACCTTGATCTGCTTGCTCCACCAAGCGTGTGTTTGCACAAATACCCAACACTCGATTCTGTGAGTGGAGTGGTGGGAATGAGTGTGTTTGGGATGGCAAGGTTGGCACAGGACAGAATGGTGTTTAGGGCTCTTGTACATGGGGTCTCTATGAGTCACAAGTGACTCGATGGCACATAGCAGCAGCAGCAACAACAACAACATGGTCACTGTGTGAGGGTGTCAGCACAAAACGGAAATCAGGGGCAGACCTGGAGAGAAGAGGGCTCCTGCTGGAGAAAGGGAGACAGAAGAACGAGGAGGGCTGCAGAAAATTCTGGGGTGGGGGATGCTCACCTGGCACGTCTGCACAGTGGGGGCAGCCATACCCACAGCCAGCCTTACCCCAGAGGCCTCCTGTAGGCTCGCAGGACCTACCTGGTCCTCTCTCTCCGACAGAAACCTCTGCCTTAACCCACCCAACCATCAGAGTAGAGAGCTGACCCACCTGTATTGCTGACTTACAGCCTGTCTGGAAAATTCCACCTGCAAATCTCTGCTCTCAGAGACTTTGGGGGAAATTCCCAGGGGGACGACTGAGGAGGCCACAGGAGCCAGCTGAATCTCACAGCTTCCGAACTGACAGCAGATCAAAAGGTGTTCCCTGCCCTTGGACTTGAATTCTATCTGGGGGCAGGTGATGAAGAGTTGGCAAAGGTGTAGTAATAGGAACTGGGGAAGCTTGCACCCCCAGAAAGGAAATGGGGTGACACAGTTGCTCATTGAATATTTATTTACAAAGTCTTTTATAAGAGGCTCGGAAATGCATTTGAGTCTAGTCAGCTGGCGAGACAGTTAAGGCCAGCCTTAAGTGTCCCCACGAAATACGTTGGTTTATTGTGGGGAAGGGGCAAAAAAGTAGCTACGTCGACACGTGTCTTTCTCAAACTCATTGCCTTTGAATCAGAACCACCTCCAAGCTCACCCTCCACTGAGCTCCTGAGGCTGTAAACTGCACAGGAGGAGACTGCCCATCTTTCTTCCTTGGAGTTGCTTGTGGATTTGAACCGCTGGAGAAGCTCGGCCTTTGGGTTAACGGTGTAAACCCCCCAGGACTGGCCCCCAGAGCTCTATGGCACATGTCCAGCCTGTCCATTTCAGAAGGACCTGTGGTAACAGCTAGTTTACAAAGATGGCCACTGATACACACACTCCCTGTCCACACAATGCTCTGCTATCAGAACACGGGGCTTAAGGCCTTGGTTGCTTTGACCAATGAGAATACGGTAAGGTGACATTTCCTGGCTTTTAAGGACTGACAATAAGAAGGCTTGCGGGGAGAACAAACAGGTCTGGAAGTTAGTTCTTTCTCCTTTTTAGAGTCTTGAATTGCCAAGAGAGATATTCAGGGTCCCTCCTGGATAGAGAGTCCAGGAGGAGGGCTCTCATGGAGTGAACACCCCACAGAGGGTCACTGAGATGCCCGCTGGCCGTCATGTGGCAGTAACTAGAAGAGTCGCCCCAGGCAAGATGAGAAGAAGCCCAGTCAGACCACGAGAATGAGGGGAGACTGCATGGCTGTTGCTGAAAGCACTATGCTTATTTTAGGGGAGGCAGCATAGGAGTGAGGGAGCTCTTGTGGCTTAGTGGTAAGCAGCTGTGCTGGCAACCCAAAGGCACGCAGTTCAAATCCATCAGCTGTTCCATGGGAGAAAGATGGGCAGTCTCCTCCTGTGCTATTAACTGCCTCTGAAAGCTTGATGGGTTGGTATGACTCCACAGTACACAACAACAAGGGTAAAGGTAAGGAGTCCTGGTGGACTTCAAGGCTACTGTTGAAACCACGGAGCTTGTGGGGCTCTGGTGGCCTACTGACAAGAAGCTGCTCTGCAATCCCGAAGGCACATGGTTCAAGGCCACCAGCTGTTCCACAGGAGAATGGGCAATCTCTTCCTATGTAATAAACTGCCTCTGAAAACACGCTGGAGGGTCAGCTATGGGTCAGTTTAACTGTATAGTATACAACAAGACCAAGGATAGAGATAAGGAGCCCTGGTGGTACAGTGATTAAAAGCCTGGCTGCTAACTGAAAGGCCAGCATTCCAAAACTACCAGCTATTCCAATAAAAAAAAAGAGGAAGCAGTCAGCTTCCCTACGATGACAGCTCAGCGAACCCTACGGGGCAGTTCTACTTCGCCTTTTAGGGTCATTAGTCATAGGGCCACATCATGACGAACAGAGAAAAGACTCAAATTGTCAATGACTTCATCTAACTTGGAATCCTGATAAGGACACTTGGTACCAGCAGGGAGGAGATCACAAGATGTATTGCCCTGGGAAAGTCTGCAGCCAGGGACCTCTTCAAATCAATGAGGAGCAATGATGTCAGTTTGGGGGCTAACTGCACTGATTCTGGCCATGGTTTTTTCAGTCACTCATTACACATCTGAGAGCTGGACAATGACTAAGGATGACAGAAGAATAATTGATGCCGTTGAACTGTGGTGAAGGGAAAGAGTACTGAACTACCACGGACTGCCAGAAGAAAAGATGATGAAGCTTCATCTCACATATTTTGGGCCAAGTTGCTGAGACTATTCCTTGGAGAGGGGTAACATACATGGGAAAGTGGAGGGGCAGTGAAAAAGAGGGAGATCCTCAATCAGACGGGCTAACACAGTGACTGGGGCAATGGGCTTGAGCATGTCATAGATTATGAGGACGGCACGGGATAGAACAGGGTTCAGATCAATTTTTCATACACAGGTCACTATGAGTCCTTGACTTTCCATCACCTAACTATAACAACAACACAAATCAGTTGACTTGATGGCAGTGAGCTTGGTTTTGGTTTTAAGGACAGAGGCATAACACTGCAACAGATGATGAGACCTCCCACGTGCCATGTCCTGAGCTGAGACACAGCTGAGAACAAGACCCTTAGAACATTTACAGGCCAGGGGCTGTGGTTCCTACGTCTGTACAGACTGGCGCAGTTACCAGCCACCACCAAGTTGATTCTGACTAGCTGAACCACAAACGGTGGCCCCGAGGGTTTTCGAGGCTGATTTTTCAGCAGCAGATTGCCAGGCCTTTCTTCTGAGGCAGACATGAATCTCTGACCTTTCAGCTAGCAGCCAAGCATGTTACCCATTTCAATGCTCCAAGGACAACTGGTAGACTAGAGAGGATTCCATACACCTTTTCCAAGATCTTACAGAGGAAGAACAGAAGTTCAAAAAGATTGAGTGACTTTGCCCAAGTTTCACCCAGCCAACAGATGGGGGGATTCGTGGGCTACCATGGAAAGAACCTTGGACAACTCCACGTGGGAAGGTTAGGGCCAAGGAGCTGAGCAAGCTCGCTCTGACAGAAGACAACGATTTGGGAAGAGGAGAAGCAAGTGTCCTTACCAAACCCACTGCCATCCAGCTCACAGCCACCCCGCCGGGCAGAGCAGAACAGAGCAGAAGCTGACTGTCTCATTGCTGGAGGAGCTGGTAGGGTTCGAACCATCGACTTTTCTGGTAACTGTCAATTTTTTAATCCCTCTGCCACTAGGGTTTTAAGAGAGACCTTGTTGTTGTTGTTATGTACCACCGTCAAGTTGCTTGTGATTTACAGAGACCCTTACAGACATACGAAAATAAAGCAGACAGTATGAGCGAGGGCAGGTGAGCTGACCTCTGACCCCCACGGCACTCACCTGAGGGCTGTGTGGGCTCCCGGTACTCCCCGCTGCTGATCTGCCGAATGAGGTTTTTGTGATCGAAACCGTCGAAGGGCATCGTCCCATAAACAAGGGTGTAGAGCAACACGCCCAGGGCCCAGCTGTCCACCTGGAGCAGAGAGACAGGACATGAAGAAGTTTGGGAGGCAGAGGCCCCAGACACCTTGCAAGCCATCAGCAGCCACCCTCAATGAACCCACGAGCTAAGCTGAGCACCTGGGGGACAGGCCCCACAATACCCAACAACTGACAGGCATTGCAGCTAGGGCTTGTTGCTACAGAGCCGGCCCCTTCCGCTTGGAACCCAACCCGAGAGTCCCAAAGCTCTCAGCTAGGCGATCTTGTTTGCTCTTCCTTGTGCTGGTGTGAGGCGGTTAGTGTGTTAATTCTTTCCAGGCCCATTTGACAAGAATATTGAAGCACCACAAAGAGCAGTGGTTTCCTCAGATGCTCTGCTCCAGTGGTGGAGGGAAGAGTGGAACTTTGAGACACCTCACGGCTGCTCCAGGCATCTTTTGATTACACCATGGAACAGACTCCTTCCTGCACCTTCTTTGAATGGATTGAGGGCGGCAAACTCAGCTTCTCACGGAGGCCGAGCAGATGGTAAACACGAGCGTGACAGGACAGAATTCAGAGTGCGATGGAGTGCTGGCAGAAACAAACTGTGCCTTCTCTCATCTTCAACTGCCAAGCAGTTGTATCCTTTTGTATTCTTGGGTTTTTTGTTTTTGTTTTTGTTTTTTTTTTCCAAAAGAAACGAGGAATCAGACTTTTATATAAAATCTATGAGTTATTAAAACTTTGCTCGTTAAAATATGTTTGCTCGTCAGATCATGAGCTGCCAGCGTGCAACTTTGGAAGCACAGCATCCAAGATGAAAGATGCACCATGGGCTTGAATGTCTACAATGCTGTAAATCAAGCCCTCATCGCCTCCTTTCCTTTCAGAGTTGAGAAGACCTTTTCTCTCCCAGTTATCAGAAAAGGCCCTTGGCATTCTTCTCCTTAGCCTCCAGCCCTTCCCCAAACACTCTCAAACAGATAAATATTTACATTGGAAACACTTCATCACACCGACGAGCTGCTATTGAAAGGATGAATCTCTGAAAAAAGAATCATGGTCCTAAGCCCATCACGCCACAACTCATCCACTTCCACTAGGATGTGTTTTCACACACATATATTTTATAGTGGCCTTAAGCACTCACTGTAGGCATGTGGAGAAACACATTTCTTATGAATCATAGGTTGAGATTCATTCAAATGCACTTTAGTTCAAAACATACGTTGTCAGAAGATACAAAAAGGTGGTCACTAAAGTCTTAAGGATTTTTTTTTTTATTTTTTGTTTTTCTGTTTTATTTATTTTGATCTGATAGAGGGAACTGAAAAGAGAAACTTAGATTTCCAGGTTTGGCTACTGGTGAAATAAATTACGGTCCATTCATACAATAAATGCCTGGGAAAACGAGGCCAGCTGTATCAGACGTGGTAAGGTTGGGTCAGGCTAGGCAAGGTTCAGAGTCATGATTCACAGCGTTGTTGAGAGTTGTCTTCGACTCAACAGCACAAGACAAGACCACCACAACACACACAACAAAATACTATGTTGTTGTTATGTGCCATTGAATTGTCTGAGATTCATAGCAATCATATGGACAACAGCTCTGAAGCCTGCCCTGTCCTGAGCCAGTCTCACTGACTCCGACACACCAACGCCCATTCCCCCAGATACTGTGTCAGTCCATCTCATATGGGGGGGTCTTCCTCTCCTGTGCTGGAGTCATTATAAAATCATCTTTAAAAAAATAATAATGAATTTTTAAGGTGCGTATCTATTTGCATTGCCATGGGAAAGTCTGCTGTTAGGGACCTCTCCAAAGTGCTGAAGAGCAGTGGTGTCTCTCTGGAGACTAAGGTGCGTCTGATACAGGCCATGGTCTTCGCAATCACCTGTTATGCATCAGAGAGTTGGACAATCAATAACCAAGGAGGATAGAAGGAGAATTGATGCCTTTGAGCTGTGGTGCTGGAGAAGAGTATTGAGAGTACCATGGACTGCTAGGAAAACAAACCGATTCATCCTGGAGAGGGTTAAACCAGACTACTCCTTGGAGGCAAGGATTCTGGGGCTTCGTCTGACATACTTTGGACATGTTGTAAGAAGAGACAGGTCCTTGGAGAGGGACATCGTGCTTGGGAGGGTGGGGGGACAGCGCAGGAGGGGAAGGCCCTCTATGAGGTGGATTGATTCAGTGACTGGGATAATCGGAATGGGCCTGTCAGAGACATTGCAATTGGCACAGGGCAGAGCAGAGTTTCGGGATGTTGTACATAGGGTCACTATGAGTTGCAAGCGACTCGACGGCACATAACAACAACAAACAACAATCTATTTGCACTTGTACATTGGTAATATGAGCTCATTTATTAAAATGCAGGGGATTGGCCCTCTTCCTGGTAGTGTGCCATAAGGATTGGGGCCACCCTGACTTTCTAGGGGTGTTTCCTCCTGCTTTCTTCACTTTTTTTTTCTCTTTAACACTTCTGCCTGGCCCATCTATCTTTCATCAATCATACTTCCTGTGCATTACCTTAATAAACATTTTCCACTTGTTTTCCTAAGATAATAAAAAAAAAGTAGGGTTTCACACACACACACACACACACACACACACACGTCACAAAACATACAACTCTCATACGGGAGAGTGCAGAGAATTTTTATTTTCCCTTCATGCTGTTCTAAATTTTCTTCCAGGTGCATGTATTACTTTTATAATCACATAAGGATTGGATTTCTTCACTTGCTTACATTTTCAGATTATTTCTAAATTTCATTTTCACTTGTGTATATAACTACCACCAGTAAACATTTTAAAAGGACTGCAGAAGAGGATCTTGAATAGAGTGTGTGTGGGGAATGTGGAACAAACACACAAACAAACAAAAACCTAACAAAATCAAGGAAAAGGCCCTGCTTACTGGCCCAAGAGAGACAGATGTAGCCTCCAAGATTGTGGTCCTGGGTAACCCTGTGAGCCAGGAACAAAACTCATCTTGGCTCATCTCCCAGCCAAACAATAGCCAGGTTTATGGCCCTCTGGGAGATGGATTGATTTGGTGACTGGGGCAATCGGGATGAGTGTGTCAGAGACAGTGAGATTGGCACAGGACAGAGCAGAGTTTAGAGCTGTTGTACACAGAGTCGCTATGAGTTGCAAGCGACTCGACGGCACATAACAACAACAACAACATGAGACGAGACTCATCCCACCTGCCAGGCACTTGCTCCTTAGCAGAGCTGATCACAGGAAGTCAGGAGAGCAGCACTTTGCCCAAGGACAAATCCCTGGCGGCAGCAATGAGCAGGGTACAAAGTTTCGGGACAAGAGAATTACTGGGATGAAGTAAGACAGTGTGATTACTTTGTTGTTGTTGTTGTTGTTGGGAGGCAGGAACGAGCAGTATAAAGTTTCAGGGCAAGAGAATTACCAGGAAGAAGTGAGACAGTGCAATTATATTGTTGTTGCTGTTATTGTAGGTATTGTAATTAATGTTATGAAACAAAATGTATAAAAATGGAACCAAACTCAACCTGCTTTGTAAACTTTCATGCAAATCACAATTCAAAAACTGGTGTCAATCCACCCTTTCAATCCATTCTACATGTAGAATTCAGTTTCCACACTACAAATCTTGTAATGTTCTATCGTATTCCTAGAGCCACTGCCTCCCTGAGGCGCTCACCTAACCTGCCATGCTGTTATCAGTTTGATCTCAGAGATAAACCTTTGAGATAAGAGTGATGTGTTGAGACAGGGCAAAATACTTCACGAATTAGGCTTAAGTCCTGTTTGGTTCAAGGCTGGCTTCCAAGAAGTTTTGGGTTAAAGTTTAGAGATGATCTCAGAGCAAGAGCCTCTTTTTAAAATTATTTTAACTATTTCCTGGATCCAGTCCTTCCAGGGTCCCATCCCAATTTTCCCCACCTCCTCCACACTGAACCTCCTCCCCACACGCACACAGCAGCGCGTGCTCCCGCCGCCAGCTCACCTCTGGTCCTCGGTAAGGCCTCCCATTGACAATTTCAGGAGATGCGTAGAGTGGGCTCCCGCAAAACGTTTGCAAGAACTTGTCCTTCTGGTACAGGTTGGAAAGCCCAAAGTCAGCGATCTACAAAGAGAACAAGGCCCAGGAAGCTTGTTAGTGCTCAGTCAGCCTCCATACTGGATCAACTGCTCCCACGCAGTGCACAGAGCAGCTGTGAGGCACTGCTGGGGCTCTGCCCTGGGTCTCCATGACTCTCATGAAGGAACCATTCAACCCTGTCGGCCAGTGTTTCCAGCCGCAGCCCTTGGCATTCCACCATGCCGGAGCTGCAGCCTGCACGCTCTGCGACCTCCTACATGGACTCCTCAGCTTAACTTCAATTTACACTCACCTGAGACATACTCTCCACAAAATCACGGCCTTGATGTTTCTGATGAACATGAAAGTTTACAGCTTCTAATTTTAAAATGGACCACAGGTGTTACCTAAAAATCACCCTGATATCGTGAAACTGTGCATCAAATTTCACCACTGCCTTTTTATCTGCTGACACTCTGTCTGGAAATATATTTTGTCCACCTTGCGATCCCAGAGCAAACAGATTCATCCTACTTCACCTCAAACTCAGCCACTTGCCAGCTGTAAGAATTTGCGCTAGTCATTCAGTGACTCCTAGTGCTGGTAGCTCTGGTGGCTTAGTGGTAAGCAGTTGCACTACTGCCAACCGAGAGGTACACGATTCAAAGCCATGAGTCGCTCTGAGATGAGCAATCTCCTCCAGTGTGATTTACTGCCTCCGAAAATGCACTGGAAAATCAGCTGTGGGACATTTCTGATTCAACTTTATGTAACAGTAGCAACAGCACCTCCACAGGACCCATGATGCCTGGCTCGTTGCTCGTTTCTCGTTTACTGGATTATTTTGAGAATCTAATGTAGGAGAGGAAGAAGGTCACACAAGATGAGACTGTTTCTGCCAAAGTGCTTTATAACCTTCAACATGTATGCAAATGTTATCTCTATCCATACTGCTGGGCTGCACGCCTCCTGGAACATTCTACCTCGGTCTTGGAAAAAATTGTATTTGTTATACTATATGGTAGCATCTTTTCTTGTCTGTGGCTTTATTTGCTAGGTAACACATACCCTCAGTGAAGTGGAGTGGCCCAAAGCAAACAACAACGGACTCAGACATGCCAATATGAACCCGGTGCAGGGCCAGGCCCATGTTTTTCACATGTAAGTTCGCTGTGAGTGCAAATCAGCTCACTGTCACCTAATAATAATGCATGTGTGTGTGAGAGAGTGAAAGAGAGAGATCTCCAAGTGGTACACACAGTAAAACACTTGGCTACTAATGGACGGGTTGATAGTTTGAATCTATCAAACTAGGTGGCAAGGAAGAAAGAACTGGCAACCTACTTTTGAGAGATTACAGCAAATGGAATCCCATAGAGTTCAGCTAGAATTTACTTTAGGGAATTCTTTTTGGGGTTGTTGGGGGGCGGGTGTGGTGATTGATTTGGGAGCTCTGGAAGCCTAGAGATAAGAAGTTGCACTGTCAACCCAAAGGCAGGCAGTTCAAATCCAACAATTGGTCCTCACAAGAAAGGTGGGAAATGTCCTCAGCTATGAGTCAGTTTCAACTCAAAGGCAATGGGTGATGTGAAAAAAAAATGTGTGTGTGTGTGTGTGTCTGTTAAATCTGGTAAGGAGCACTGGTGGACTAGTTGCAAGAAGCTGCAATCTCAAAGGCACATGGTTCAAACACACCAGATTCTCCGTGGGAGGAGGATAGGCAATCTCCTCCCATGAGATTAACAGCCTCTGAAATCCACTGGAGAGTCAGCTATGAGTTGGTTCTGATCAGTGGTACTCAACACCACCACCACTACATATATACATTGTTGTTATGTAATATTGGGTTATCTATGACTCAAAGCGAACCTATGAACAACGGCTCTAAACCTTGCCCTCTTCTGAGTCAATCCTGGCATCTCTGACACACCTGACTACAGGCACTATGTCAACCCATCTCATCATCGACTCTGTGCCGACTCTCTCAATGTTCCAATTATTAGTGGCTGTTTGCAACTGTTCCTTATTTTCTGTTCCCAAGTTGAGAGCTCACCCTCCAGTGCTGTATATAAGTGTGCTCTAAGACCAGTCTAAGTGTGCTCCATTGTTCACAGGGTTTTCAAAGGCCTGTTATTTCAGAAATGCATGGCCAATCCTTCTTTCTCATCTGTGTTAATTTGGGAGGCATGGTGCAAGGAGGGACTGGTCCTTGGAGAGGGACGTCATGCTTGGGAGGGTGGTGGGACAGAGCAGGAAAGGAAAACCCTCGATGAGAGGGATCGATTCTGTGAGTGGAGTGGTGGGAATGAGTGTGTTTGAGACAGTGAGATTGGCACAGGATAGAACGGCGTTTAGGGCTCTTGTACAGAGGGTCCTATGAGTCACAGGCAACTCGATGGCACATAACAACAACTTTAGTTCAGCATCTGGCAGATAAATGCTGTACCCGAAAGAGCAAATGATAGACAAACAGTAAAACAAACACACACACACACACACACACACACACACACACACGTTGTTATATATGTATATGTACATTTAATTTATATACGTGTGTGTGTGTGTGTGTATTGTTTTGTGCCACTGAGTTGGAACTGACTCATAACTAACTCTTCAGTGGGTTTTCAGAGACTGTAAATTGCATGAAAGGAGACTATTCACTTTCTCCTATAGAACAGCTGGTGGATTTGAACACGATACTTTCCAGTTGGCAGTGCAACTCCTTACTACAAGGTCAGCAGAGCTCCGGGTGTGTGGTATACATATGTGTTTATATACGTACATGTGTGTTGGCCTATGTATTCAATCTCCCCGCCTACGGACTGTGAATCCCCTGAGGCAGATTCTAACGGTGTCTCGTCTCTGAGTCACCCACTGACAGCACTGCCCTCAAGGAGCACCTGTCACTGGAGCAGGCAGGCATTATCTTTGGAGAATATAAAATAATTACTAGATAATGCATAATAACATCAATAATTCAGTGTTCTCTCGCGGCACACTTTCTAAGGCACTTCCCATATTCTAATGCCACCAGAAATCCCACTTAGTAAAGAAATTGAGGTCTAGAGAGATCAGGTGACTCGTCTAGGGAGATGTAAGCAGTGAGTGACAGTGCAGCCAGGGGCTCTTGGCCACTCCGGCCACTGTGCCCACGGCCCCTGGGTGACCTCGATCCCTCACCCCTCTGAACCTCTCTGGCAAGTCAAGCAACCACAGATTTCTGCCATCCCCCAGCTGACTTCCATTAGAGACTTATAAATAGGCTGGGGCTCACATGCCCATGGGCGGCCCAGCCCACATGCCCCTGAGGCTCCTCTGTGAGCACAGCCCCCAGAACAAGTCTATTTTGTACGAGTCCTCGGATGCGCAGACTGTCACTGCAGGCAGCTGGCACATGGCTGCCCTCAGAAACCCACATTCTCGGGGCTCACATTGCACTTAATTGCCCTGAGTTCCATCCTCTTATCAAGGCCCCTGACTGGTTTGCAGGAAGTTGAGTGGGAGGTTTATGAAGTGTGTCCTGTCCATCAGAAGGGACTGGAATGGCTTTGCCACAGGACATCTGTGCACTAAGTCGGGCAGCTCTGTTCCCTCTCCAGCACCAGTAAAGGCAGAAATAACGATGTATTTCGAGGGCGAGGGGTGGGGAATGCATCCCCTATTGCCCAGTGAAGAGCTGGAAAAAGAGAGAAAGACCTTCAAGCAGATGGAATTATACAATGGCTGCTGCAGTGAGCTCGAGTCTGCCTGAAATAATGAAGATAGCACAGGATGGGACAGGGGTCGGGTCTGTGGTCACAGGGTCATGTGAGTGGTACTTACTTAACAGCCACCCAGCGATTTCTGAGGCTCTGGGTACCACGAGAATGTCCAAGTTCGGGCCCCGGCACACACACCTGCACTCTGGGGGCTCTCAGACAGTGTACACCCTGAGGCTGGGCAATTCGATTTCTCCACAGCCGTCCTGAAGAAATGTGTTTATGTTTCAGCCCACTCCCCTCCTCAGACTGATGCTTATCAGCCCTGCCCAGTAAAACTGTCATCACCGCTGACATATGATTAATAGAAATCTAGATTAGCCCATATTCTTGGCAGTTCGACAGAAAAGCAATATTAATCAACACATACACACACATAAACATAGTTCCCCAAACTTCAACCATTCAACCTGTGGCGTCAGTTCTAAGATTTAATATCATATGGAGCATAGATGGGCTATTGATATAATTAGGGGGCATGGCCACTGCTTACAAAACTTCTCAGAAGCCACCTCAGTTTGAAAGGCATCAATTACTCCTCTGTCCTCCTTATTCACTGTCCAGCTCTCAGCAGCATACCAAGTGAATGAAAAGACCATGGACTGCAACAGGTGCACCTTAGTCCTCAAACTAACACCATTGCTCCTCAATATCTGTAGAAGTCTCTGACTGCAGACTTTCCCCGTGTAATATATCTTCTGATCTCCTTCTTACTGCTAGTTCCAAGAGTACTGATTGTGGATCCAGGTAAGAGAAAGTCGCTGACAGTTTGAATCTTTTCTCCATCTATCATGATGAAGCCTCTAGGTCTAGTGGTGAGAATTTTTGTTTCCTGGACACTGAGATACAAACCATCCTGAAGGCTGTAGTCTTTGATCTTCTGCAACAAGTTTTTCAAGTCCTCTTCACTATTAACATGCAAGGCTGTTATCATCTACATAACAAAGGTTATTAAATAGAGTTTTTCTCCAATCCTGATGCCACATTCTTCTTAAGAGTTCAGCCTTTTGAATAATTTGTTCAGCATATAGAATGAACAGGTATGGAGAGAAGATACAACCCTGAGGCACGCCTTTCCTAATTTCAAACTATGTAGTGTTTCCTAGTTGTTGTTGTTGTGTTCCACAGAGTCAGAGTTGTCCCAGAGCTGATCCTCTGGTGGGTTTTCAGAGGCATTTAATTGCACAGTAGGAGACGACTCATCCTTCTCCTGCAGAGCAGCTGGTGGCCTCAAACACTGTGCAGCCCAGCTTCTTGCCACTAGGCCACCAGAACTCAAAGATT